TGCAGTGGATGGGGCATCAGAAGGACATTACCCCTTGGGACAAGGGTCCCACGCTCCAGGCTGGGAGGGTACTGAGGCTCAGCCTCACCTTCTGCTCAGGTTAGTGAGGACTGTGCTGTCTCCTCTGATGCTTGACTTCTCTTCCAGGTGGCAATGTAAAGGATCACATACATTTTATCTTAAAGCCAAGCCATAGGATGTGAAGATGCTCCTATATGTATCTGGCTATCCACTGGCTCCAAGGTCTCATCTAAATCCAACCTTCACACCCAAACAACATGGCCCCCTTCTGGCCAGGTGCTTCTTCAGCTGACTTGCAGCATCAGGAGGTGGCTGTGACTCCCTCAGCCCATACTTCTTGATCCCTGGGTCCCACTCAGCAGGAGGATGAAGGACTTCATACCTCTTTTGCCCCTGAGGGCTGATGGGGTTTGGGTGCAAGTGGTGGAGGTGAGGGCCTGGAGAGAAACAAGCTCAGGACCTGGCAAGGAGTAGCTGCACATCAGTCACAACTCACACCTCAGTCACTAGAGGACCCCATCTGCCCAGGTACAGGCCTTCCCTAGACCTCTGGATCCCCACCTGCCCCATTTGCCAGAAGGCGACACATTCTCAGAGATGGTGAGACTCCTGATTTAGGACAGCAGCCCAGGGCCCCTGGAATCTTGCTTGCTTCCTCCCTTTCATTCCTCATCCATCCCAATCCTACCTTCCCAGTGATCCTGGTCTACATGCTACACTTCATGATTCTATGATCTGCTCTGAGAGGGATTTGCATTTTCATGATTATTTATATAAGCAAATAATCATGCTTATACAAATAGGAAAAGCAGTGCTTCTGGACTTTCCAGTGAGAAAATCTTATCCCACAGCTTGCTCCCACACTGCCAATTTAGGACCCAGGATGTGGGTGAGATGGATGAGGAATGAAAGAACTGGGAGGATCTCCGACTGTGTCCCACACCCCTTGGTGGGCATTACTCCAGTCCTCTAGGTCACCCTCTCCTCAGCTTCCAATTGAACCAGATGTGTGTGGGTAGCTCACAAGGCTGTATAGGTGGATGAGGAATGGGGTGGGAGGAGGTCTGTGCTGAAGACATGCTGACTTACCCCTCCACCTCTGACTAGGGTGTTGTAGCAGCCCCCTGCCCTCATCTGTCTTTCACACCAGATATGCTCCTACACACCATGGCCTCTTTTGTCTTCCTCCAACCAGAAACTTGCTGACTCCAGTGCAAGCCTATCCGATAAGCCACAGCCTACCCCTATGGACTGCCCGTCACAGAATCTTAGACATCAAGGCAAGTTCATGAGTACTTGCCTTCTACTCCGTAGGTACACAGGATCTCCTTGAAAGCTGCTAGGAGCTGTGGTAGTGTGTTACCTGCTGGCAGTGTAGACAAGTTCACTTTCCAGCCCATTGGAAAGACTGCCTTCTTCTGGTTGCATTTTGTGTACTGGGTTGGGTCCAGGGAGCATTCTTGGCTTTTCCCACTCAAATCGTCTGAGCCTTTCCATTTAGTAGCAGATCATTTCTGTCTTCCAGGCCGAGGACACCGAGTGAGAGAAATGGAGAGCTGTTATCAGGGAGAGAACTTGGCTTCAAATCAGGAAGAGAATAGCCCTTGGAGCGTCAATTTTAGTTTTTGACTCACATCTAGGAATCAGAACCCAAGCTTTCTAACATTGTAATGCAGAAGATTAAAGAGATACATATGTAATTAACAAATATATTCTTCACGTGAAAAATTCAAACATTATAAATAAAGCTAAAGTTTCTCTTGATGACCCGATTCCCTGCCCCTTCTCCACCCCAAGTAACCACTATTTTCAGTCCGGTCAGTACCTTGCAAAGCCCTCTGCCTGTACATACCTTTAGAAGCACATGGTTGTGTGTTGCGGATGTACAGTGTTTTTGTTTGTTTGCTTGCTTTTTTTTTTTTTATACATAAATACTATCACTCTGTACTTGTTCTGCAATGTGCCTTTCTCTCTCAGTGATTTACCTGGATGTCTTTCCATTTCATTACTATCTCCTTTCTTTATAACTTGCCATGGTTTATTTAACCTTTTCCCTACTAATGGGTATTTAGGTTGTATCTAGTTGATTTTGTTAAATTTTTATAAACAATTCATCAATAAAAATCCTTGAACTTGGTTCTTTAAAGTCACCAAATAGTGCAATTGTTGAGCCATAGGGCATATTAAAAAAACAACTAGACACTCAATTTTCTCTCCAATTTCCCCACACATAGATTTGGAATCTGGCTACCTCACAAGGTGAGATGCCTTTGCAATTTGTCATCTTCCTGGCTTGTCTTCCCTTTTGGACCTCAGAGGGGTGGGTGGAATTGTATCATTCAACCAAGGAAAGGGGGTCATGTAGTAGCTGGGGCTCACAGGGACACCTCTGCTCTCTTCCCAGACCAGTTGCCTGTCTCCCACCAGCTCTGCCCTCTTCTGCAGAATGGGTGCCACCTAGATGCCTGCTCCTAACAGCCATTGTATTCCTTTTACTGCAGTTAGGAAGCAGACAGAGCTAGGAGAAGAGCTTGGAGAGCTGGGAACAAGGAGGCAGGGAGAGTACTGGGAGTGAGCTGAGGAGGACTGGCATGTTTCAATAGTTGATTTTCCTGCAATAAATCATATACTTCTTTTGTTTTGTTTTTGAACAAAGGCTTTAAAAATTATTCTTATTTTATTTCTGAGTAGGTGATGTATTCACATGATTCAAAAATCAAACTATATACAAAGTATATGAATGAATGTCTTGCTCTCACCCCTGTCCCCATCTATCTTATTGCCCAACCCCCACATTACTATTTTATTCATTTCTTATGCATCCTCCAGGATTTTTCAAACCAAATACAAGCACATTAGAATGCATTGCCTCCCCCCCCCACCTTTTGTTACATAAAAGTTAGCACAGTTATGCAAGAGACCAAAAAAAATTAATTTGGCCATAAAAGTGAGCACACCACAAACACTGTCTGCAGCTTGCTTTTTTCAGTTAGCATATCTTGGAGGGAATTCCATATTGGTGCAGAGAGTGCTTTCTTATTCTTTTTTATAGCTGCATGGTATTCCATGCCACATAATTCATTTGGCTAATCTCCTGTGGATAGACACTTGGGTTATTTCCAAGTTTTGCTGTTACTAATGATGTGCAATGAATAATTTTGATCATTTGTCATTTTACATGGGTTATGTCTATCTGTAGGATAAATCACCAGAAGTGAAATTGCTTGGCCAAAGGGGAAGGGCATTTGTGATTTTCATAGTTATTATCAAATTTTCCTCTGTAGGGGTCATACCAATTTATACTCCTGAAAGTAATGTTTAACCATGGGGTTTCTCCACAGTTTTGCCAAAAGGGTGTTTTGTTAAACTTTTGATTTTGTCACTCTGATAGGAGAACATCGGTATCTCAAAGTACTTTTTTTTTTTTTTTTTCCTTTTTGTCTTTTTTCATGTCCGGCAACGGACCGCAACCCTCAGTGTCGCGCCCGTACCGGACCGGGACCGGCAACGGGATTACAACCCTCGGTGCTGCGCCCGCCCCTCGCTCAGCCAGTGAGCGGGAACCGGTCTGTATGTGGGATCCGAACCCTTGGCGGGAGTGACACCGCGCTCCCAAGCGGCGCACTGTAGCAGTGCGCCACCGGGCCGGCCCTCAAAGTACTTTTAATTTGACTTTCTTATTATGAGTAATGCTCAGCATCTTTTACTCTGTCCACGATCCAATAGTATTTCCCTTTTTGCGAACAGCCTGTTAATATCCCTTACCTATTGTTTCATTGGGGGTTTGCTTTTGTTTTCTTTTTCTAATGTTTTCAGGGAGCTCTTTATGTGTTAAGCAAATTATCTCTTTATCTCGCATGAGTTACAAATATTTTTTTCCCTGGTTTGTTTTGTGTTTTGACTTTGCTTCTGGTGACTTCTGCAATCCTGAAAGGTTACTTTTTGCATCAGTCATACTTGTATCCCCCTGTCTCTGCTCATGCTGGTCCCTCTACCTGGAGTGTCCTTTGTCTGGGAACTCTGTTCATCCCTTTAGGCCCTGACTCATATGTCACCCCCTTGACCCTCTGTCGTTCCCAGCAGATCTCATCACTCCTTCCTGGCTACTCCTTTTATACTGTCTCTTACCTCTACTTGTCACGTTGTCTTATTTTTGTTTGTACGTATCTGCCTGTCCTATCTAACTAAGAACTCTTTACCTTTCTGGTCTCTGTACTCCTGGTCCTTAGCACATAGCATTTGCTTAGCAGATGTTTGTTGAGTCAACAGATAGAAAATTCATCAGCAGCTGTTACCACTAATCCTTACTTCTTACAATGCTTCAGCTGATCCTGCTTTTTAAATGAACCTTGTGAACTAAATATCCTTTTGTTGAAAAACAGAAATGAAGGGGATGAGGGGGGAGGCTTGTCTTTGGTGCCCAGGGATGTTTCTACTTTGCAGCACCCTGTGATAAGGAGTGGGCTTCTAACCCCTCAAAGAGAGGGCTCTTGCAGCCCCGCTTAGCTTCACATTTCTGTATCAAATCTAAAACAAGTTTTAATGACTAGGGCAGAATTTTTTTTTCAGTGAAATTTATTTCAGAATCATCAGAACAGTGTGATCATACCCCCTCGTGTATAAATATTCCCATTTAAATAATCTGAGCTTATGTATTTTCAGCTGTGTCAAAAGGACTTGATTTAAAGACAGCACACCAGTCCAAACTGAATTGATTCCATAGATATTAAAAATGGGGCTCTTTCATAGATGCTGCTGCTTCTTGACCCCTTGAATTAAATAGACCAAACCAATCAGTCAATAAATAAATAAATAAACTGGTCGCTCTTCAGGAGCTGGGAGCAAAGGACAGAGGATTTCTTTGAACTGAATGGGTGAAGTGAGAGAGGCCTGGGTCAGCAGAGGGTCTGAGGGTTGGCCCCGGGAGAGAGAGCTGTTCTTCTTGGCTGATGGGCGGGAGGTCTCCCTAGTACTGTCCTAGGAATGCAGCTGGGCATCAGTGTAGGCAGCAGTAAAGACCAGCCTGCAGCCATGCTCAGAACCCTTCCATTCCCCTTCCACCAGATTGAGAAGTTGAATCTACATGCAGCACACGGGGTCCCTGAGGTACAGATCGCTTTAGGAAGACATGACTTCCATGGTGAAGTCAGTTATGTCCTGGCCGTTTTGACCATCTCCCAGGAAGACAGGCATATTTTCTGCTTGAGAGGTGCTGATGTACCAGTTTGGGAAGTTGGCAGACTCAAATTCTACCTTGTTCTTGATTTCTATCTTGTTGAAAACAAATCGCTTTTCCATCTTCTTCTTTGGGTAGATTTTGGGGTCTACGCTCTGCAGCAAAATAGAAATAAGAATTTTTGTGAGGGAAGGGACAAAGACACTGTGGTTGAGATGTTTTCTGGGTTGGCTGGAGAGAAACTGATGAGCAGGTTACAGGACCAGGAGCCAGAAGCCTAAGCTACCCTTGGAGCCACAAATTTCTGTGTGGTGACGGCAAGAGCCCTTCGACTTTTCTTAGTACCAAATGCTGGGGAGCATAATGTAGATGAGAATTTTCTAAAAAGTCAAAATTAAGCTAGAGCTTCTAGAAGTAGCTAGTCTCTAAAGACTTTTGCCATATTTTTCCCCATGGCCCTGGCTAGAATGACATCAACTTGGAAATGAAGTTTCTGCTGCAAAGCTGAAGGTGGTGGTGGTGGTGATTGTGGTGGGAGTGGAGGGCACATGATGACAGGTCCCTTTAATGGATTAATTCCCTGAAGTGTCATCTGTCAAATGACAGCAACCCTAACCATGTATAATACTTTTAACCCCAACATTGTATGTAATCTGTCAGGGTAGTAACAATGGCGGGACATAATACATCAGCAAAATGATTTAATTTTCTGTGGTAGGAGTGAAGGTTGCATGCATTTAAAAAGTATGTTAAATTTATTTATATTTATGCAGAACTGTCAAGTCGACCTGCTCCCAGATTTTTGAGGGGCAGGAGGGCAGAGAGAAGGTGGTATCTGAGAGGTACAAGATGGTTGGGGTGTTTCAGAAGAGGCTGGGAAGCCTCCCTCACTCACCTCTAGCTGCAGGGTGGGCTTGTTGTCTTTCATCACGCAGGACAGATACATATTCTTATCCTTGAGGCCCAAGGCCACAGGTATTTTGTCATTACTTTCTTCTCCTTGCACAAAGCTCATGGAGAACACCACTGAAGAAAGGAGAGAGGCTTGTGGTCAGGTACACAGCAGTGCAGGTCCCAACCCTGGGACCCCATGTGCAGGACCCATACAATTTAGCACCCTCTGTGGGAACCCACAGCCAAGTTCCTTTGGCCTAATAGACAAGATAACTTGGTTTCTCACAGACAAGAGCAGGGTCAGTTGGATGATTCAAGGTTTCCCCAAAGAAGTCCGAGGGCTTCTCAGAGCCTCACAGCAATGACAATGAAGAATAAAGGGGACCTAATTTTTAAATGCTGAAGGAGGGAAGGAAGCCATCTTGCCACTGGCCAGCAATGTGCCCATCCACAATTGTGGCCAATTTGTTCAATGTGGAAGACAAGGAAAGAGGTAAAGCTGGGCTTCCAGAAGAAATCGGGTATGAGAGCTGCTTCAGGAACAGAAAGCAGCATAGAGGAAGAACTTCGGAGAGGAGAGGCTTAGCTGGGAAAAGTGGCTCCAAAGAGACACTCGTTTTGATCTTCCTTAGTCACAGCAGTCTCGGTAGGTAGCCCTGGGGCCACTCTTACCACCCAGTTCTAAAGAAACAGGTTTATCCTCGCCTGACCAGGAGCAAGATGCTTTCCCCCAAGGCTGCCCCTGCCAGCCGTTCCCTTGCCCACATCCCTGCACTCAGGTTTCACCCGCAGTGGCATGATGCCAGCAGTTCCCCACAGCTAATCATGGGCTCACCGCCCCTAAGACATTTGCCAGTTACAGCAGAGAGATATACGTTCCTACTGGCCAGTAAATTTCCCTACAAGGAAACATCTGGTATTGGGCAGGAAGGATGCTAGGGATAAGGGGACAGGGTTGGGAATGGGGTGGACAGATTGTCACTTTACTATTCTAGTTTCAGTCTCAACCACAGGAAAAAAGAACCCACAGGCAGTTAGGGCATTTCTATCAAACGACCACCCAGTATGGAAGCATTGACACTGCACTATGCCTAAGTGACTTGGCTGGACAATGGACCCTGGAGTGCTGGAGCAGTCTGATTTCTCACAGCCACACCTCTTGCTAACAAATAAACATGCTGAGGCAATCAAACTGGTACCATTGCCAAAACCAAACACAAGTTTATGTTTTGTTTTTGTATTTGCCCTAACGTTCTACTTTGTTGAAAACATGGAGAATTACTAAGCTGCCAGGAGGCCAGGAAAGGAAACCAAGATGCTGATGGTTACCTTGTTTGTTCAGATTCTGGTTATTGAGGTGGAGAGCTTTCAGTTCATACGGGCCGGACAGCACCAGGCATTTCTGTTCTGTATCGTGGAGCGTGCAGTTCAGCGATCGTACCGCGTCGCATTCATGAGCATCATCCCATATGACAAATTCTGAAATGTGGAACACATGTTATTTAGACAGAAAATCAGAAGGACGGGCTTAGCGATGCAAGGCAGCAGAAATTGGTTTCTTGGAGGATATCTGAGCATGTACGGTCAAAGTTTCATTATAGCCTTGCAGGGGAGAAAGTTGGGTGGGTGGGTAAGACATGGGTTCAAGCTTCAGCTCTGTGATTGCTCACTGTGGACTAGCAACTGAGCTACTTGTGTAAAATGGTGATGGCAATAACACTAGCCCAATGGGGAGGTGGTGAGACTTGCCAGCGATAATGTAAGTGAAGGCCTCTGAAAACCAGTGAGTGGGTTGCCAGTGTGAATAGTTATCAAGGTCCTCTTTCAAGAATAGTTTCAACCAAAGAGATGACTGATTTGGTCTCTAACTTTCTTTGTTTTCTTCTCCTTGCTGGGCCTTCTACATTTAAATGGCGTCAGCTTCTGGGGAGTTTGGTTGACTGTTGAGTGATGGACTCTGAGGAGGACACGATGGGAGATCTACTGTTTGTTCTCAGCTCTCATTAAGTACCTTCTTCAAAGATGAGGGACAAGAGGCTGCTCAGGTCACCATCCTGGGAGGCCTTTGCACAGGGAACTAGCATCTTCTTCCTCAGCTTCTCCATGGCCACGATGATCGATACAACCTGCCTGAAATTGTGGTTGTAGTGCTGGTGGGAGATTTGCAGCTCGATGGCCCCCTCTGGACAGCAGAGGTCCAGGTCTTGGAAGCAGTTCTGTGGAGAAACCGAGTGAGTGTGTTAAGGTGGTCAGGCCAGCGAACTTGTCCTGCAGCGTTAAAGAGGAGAAAGGGGCCTCAGAGATGACTGAGCTTCTAATGATAATCCCTGTCTTTCTGGAGCCGAGATGTTAAGTGGCTTACCCAAGGGCACATGCAAGTTAGAGGCAGACCGCAAAGCAGAATGTGGGCTTTCTGACACCATATATGCTATTCTTTCAGAGTAAACCCCATTTTTTCCGTGTTTATCTTTTTTTATGCATGCTGTACCTACACCATATGCTGACACCTTCTTACACTTTATGTCTTTGTATCCCTAATGCTCTAACACTATGCATTTAATTCTTAGCCACGGTGATGACCATAACATTTTCTACTCACCTATAATCACTCAACAAGTTTTCAATTTTTCTACACACGTCTTTTTTTGGTGGAACACTGCCTCATAGGCATTCTGCCAATACTGTAAGAGTGGTTATGACTTGTGAAATACTTGTATGTTACCACTTTGAGGCTTAACTGAGGTTGCCCTAGGACATAATGGTTCAAAAGCTTGAAGGACAGTTGAAGAGACCTCTAACAGCGCAAAGGAAAGGTGGACCCACCAGATGTGCCTGCCCAGAGTGGAGGCTTCCGATGAGAGCCAGGCTGCTGGAGGAGGCAGCAGGGCAGGGCCAGGCAGAGACCCCAAGGCCCCCCACCCAGGGCTGCAGTCAACCCCTTATGCTGGTCTGAAAACTTAAAGAAATGTGCTTTTAACAGAACTGAGGACTGGATTCTGAGACAAGGGGAGGCTGTCATAAACCGAAAAAAAAAAAAGAGAAAAGTAGCTGCCTTCTAATCTGCACACCTGACCTAGCTGGGCTGATGTATGTGCTACCTAGGAAAGTTATCAGGAGTCACAGAAAAAAGAAGGGACAGCCAGAACATCAGCATCACTTTTTGGAGGGATGAGAGCTTGAAAAATGCCCATTTGCTGGGATAAACTTAGCTACCACTGAAAATACTTCAGAAATGAAGGTTTCAGGATGCAGGTATCTCGGAGATTATATAATTCATTCCCTTTATCTTTCAGATGAGGTCCTAAGGGGTGCAATGACTTGTCCAAGGTTGAATGGCAAGTGAATGGCTTTCTTTCAATTCCCATTCAATTTTCTGTTTACATCATCTATGTCTTATCTACCCAAAAGGGAGTAGATGTATATTAATTCTCAAGATCATCTCTGGGTTTCAGAGTTTGACTCAAGAGATTAGTGTAGGCTGAGCCCATCTCCTAAAAGGAGAATCAAATTTGTGTTGAAGACTTGACTGTCTTCCTGGTGCAAAACAGCAAACATTATCACCATGATTCCCCCCTCCCCCAAGCATGGCCATCATCACCAAGCCTTCAGAGTGACTAGGGTGGTGTGGCAGCTGTGTGGTGGCCGATAAGGCACATAGTGCAGCCTCTGTCTGTCTTATTGGAAGAGGCAAAAGTCATTCTATCATAAAATATCAAGGGAACAAGGTGGTCCAGCCCTTTTCATGGCTCTTCCTGTGTCAGAGCCCCTCCATGGGATGGGAGCTAAGCCCACAGACTCACCTTCATCTGTTTGGGGTCACTGGCCTCAAAGAACAAGTCATCCTCGTTGCCACTATAATAAAAACAGAGACAATGCTCAACTATGTTTCCTAAAGAGGTTTATTTTTCCTTCCCTGCAAGCAGGTCTTCACTGTTAATAGGAAACTGCAAACAGCATGTCATTCAAAGCTGCCTGAAGACTTCTGGCAAGTTCCATGGTGATATGCACAGAATAGTCTAAGAGGTAGATTCTGGACCAGGCAGGTATGTACCCTGGGTTTTCTCTGTTGGATCATGAGACCTAATCTCCAGCCCAGCAGAGTCAGCTAAAATCTGAGCTCCCACTCTCACCCAAGCCAAACTTTGCAAAAGGCTTCCCTGTACCATCCACTTGCCATCTTTGCTTCCCATTTGCCATCTGCATAAGCCCTGGCAGAAGCATCGGGATAGCTTCTGGGTCCCAAGTCTGGACTTGTAGTGCAGGCTTTAAACCAGTTTATAACCAGGTTAACTTAGAACCCTGCTTGCCACTGAGAGAAATGATTTGGGGGACAAATCTGGTCTCCAAGCACAGATAACATTACTCTTGAGAGGGGAGCCCTGCTCATGTTACTTGTCTCAGTCTCTTCACTGACCTGTAGTAAATCATTTCATTGACGAGTTCGGGTACCACTGCCATGGTTTCTTCAGAGACCTGTGAGAAGAGGAGAAATAAGTGACCACTTGCAGCGCCAGTCCCCGTGTCTTCATTTGTGAGTTTCCCTCAGCAATAGTACATGGCAGGCACGCAAAGAAACAAACTCTGAATGAATGAGAGAATGCACAAAAGAGCCGTCCTGTGGGTCTAGAGGAAAACATTTGCTAAACCAAATCCAAACCAGCAGTGCATTTGCTAGGAGACCTTGAGCAGAGGCTTTGACATTGATCTCCCAGATGTCAGCTGCTAGGTAAGCAGTACTCATTCCCAGAATATTTTACAAGTCATAGAATTACAGTACACCTGGCATTTTTACAAAAAGCCCAGGCCTCAGGCAGAGGGGAAGAGAGGGATGAAAGGAGGGAGGGAGGGGGGGCGGGGGGGGTAAAAGGGAGAGAGAGAGACTCTCTTAGGGCCTGCTTGTAAGGAAGAGTTAGTGAAAGTCATAAAGTCATACTTGAGCAGTGAAGACTGGCTGGAGAGAATCCCAAAGCGGCCTGCTGTGCCTTGTGCCTCGAGGAGATTTGCTCTCTGCCAGCTTCTCTTTCACTGTTTTTATGGCCTTCAAAAGCAGAAGTGGAGAGGCAGCCAGCAGGGCCCAGTGGTCTGGTGCCTCTGTGGGCTTTCCTGACAGAGAACACAGAGATGCTCTTGGTCTGTTGATATGATCTGTCCATGTGTTGAGCAAAGGAAGATGAGAGACAGTGACAGGAAGGGAGGTATGCAGTAGACCCAAGCATCAGCTCTGAGTTTGTTCATTCTGTTTCTGGGACTTAGGGGTAGGTCAGCAGCCTTGAGCTACCTCCTTCTTCTAATTGTGGCATTCTAGGACCTCAGAATCTGCCAGCTGAAAGGAGCCCTAATGATTGTCTAGTGGGATCTAGTGGGTTCATATAGACAAAGACACAGATAGCTATCTGAATGTGAACCGCGGATGAAGAACTCAAGGCCAGGAGAGGTGAAAGGACTCATCCAGTGTCACAGTGTGACTGAAGTGGTGCTGGCACTCAGGTTGCAGGAGCCCTGGGTTCTTTCTGCTCAAGGGAAATTTTAGAACAGTGGGGTAATGCCCCTTGACGTAACAGTCTCTACAGTTCTGCCATGTCTCATCCTGGACCTGTATCCTGGACCCCAAACCTGCCACAATCCTGTCCATCTCAGGAAGTGAAACCTCTTGTTGTGTCAAGCAGGCAGATTGCACAATATCTGTACCAAATTCTGGCTCCCCGAAGAGACCGCTTGGACCACAGAACATCCTTCCGGTCCCCAATGAGTAGAAAACATTTCACTATAGAAATAGTTTCACTCAGGGAGGGAGTGAAGGAGGGACGATGATGTAGGTGGCAAGACCCAAGGAAATGGAACAAGCAGAAGTGGGGAGCTGACAATGCCAGGAAGTCGTGGGGAGCTCCAGCTTTTGGGGAATTTTTTAGCTCTCGAGTCACTCGAGCCCTTCTCAGCGGCAAGTTCGTCTCCTTCTACCCTGGCAGGTCATTCCTCTCAGACAGGACACTGGCATTTACTTAAAGCAGCAAGTGCCTTGGTACCATCTTATGTCTGATCTTGGGCTTTCAAGCCTCTGTCATCAAGGTGTGCCTCACCCTAATGGCCTTCAATAGTTTTGAACAAGAAGACAAGCAAAATAATTGTGGGTTAGTTCTTATATTATTGCATGTACACGTGGTGATGTCTGCTCTCTGCAGTGGGCTGAACTTCCCTTGTTCGCCCTCTTGCTCGAAACAGAACTGAGCGATGACTGTCCCCACCATTTTCTCCTGCTGGCTGAGATGTTATTCTACCTTGGAGAGGCAGTAGAATCTTTTTCTTTGTTTGGATCCAGCAGAAAACGCCCCTCAATGGGTAAAGTGAATAGCAGGGCTATCTTCACACATGATGGGTATAAGAGAGTGAACCAGGGCTCTGGTAGGGTTCTGGAAACATTTTGTATAAAGGGCCAGATAGTTAATGTTTTAGGTGCAACTACTCAACTCTGCCATTATTTTAGAAAAGCAGTCATAGATTGTAGGTAGACAAATGGGCTTGGCTGGATTTGTCCTGCAGGTCATAGGTTGTAGGCCCCTGTCTTATACCATTGTTTTATACCATTCTTCTTGGATACTAATTTAGAAACAAAACTTAAGAAAAACTTGCCCTTTATTGAGTACCTACTAAGTGCCAGCACTTTTTCCTTATTACCTTATTTAGTCTTCACAATAACCTTTAAAGCAGATAGTATTAGTTCTGGTCAAGATGGTGGAATAGATGGTCCCCAGTGTCACTCTCTCCCACAAATCAACCAATTTACAACTATTAAAATGTAACATCAGCCAAGCTGGGGCCAGTGGAGCTCAGGGGAAGAGGAGGAGAGACCTACGGGGTTTATGAAGGTGGGAGAAACCACGATGAGAGAAAGAAAAAAACTGCTCTGAGCATTTCAAGCTGTGACTGCTTTAAGGCTGGAGCTGAAAGGCACATGGAGCAGGAGCCAGCAGAAGCCGCAGCTGTGCCCTTCAGATGGAGTTACTTGGAGGCAGCAGGGGAGAAGAGGACCTTGGTGGCCCCCAGGACAGCAAGACCACTAATAGGGTTCCCATGTACCCACACAGGAGTGAGGAGCCAGAACAGCTCAAAAAGGGGAGCCGTTCAGAGGCTGGTGAGTCAATGCAAGGGACTCGCACAGGGCCTGTCCCACAGGAAGTGTTTGGAGCATGGGTGATGGGGGAGACAGGCCCACCGGGAGAATGCTAGGACATAGCAAAGACAGCTGATCCATCCCCCAATCAGCACAGGACCACTCAGAGGAGATTGGTCAGGAGTGCAGAATTGCATGCAGTGTAGTTTGATGAAAAAACTCAAGCCCAGATCAGAGTTTCTACACAACCCAGGTGCACCAAGTTGCTGGAGAGTTGGAAGTACCTAAAAGGTCAACCATTAAACCCTGAGCGGCACATAAAGCCTTCCCTAGGGAAACAGCAGCAAAGCAGCAATTTAGCTCAACAACACAGCTCAAGTACTGGTTCCCACAGGAAGTTCCCCCATGTTAGAAGTAACCAAAGGACAAAAAGTTAGTCCCAGCCCAGGAACACCACCAGTGCCTTGGGGCCCGCCAGGGGACATGAGGCATGGAGCCAGGGACAGGACCCCTGCCCACAATCACTCATACTGCCAGCGCCTTGGGGCCTGCCTGGGAACCTGAGGCTTGGAGCCAGGGACTGGACCCCCCCCCCAACCAGGCACACTGCATCAGCACCTCAGGGCCCACCCAGGGACCCGAGGCATGGAGAAGGGGACTGGACCCCCCCTCCAACAACCAGGCACACCACACCAGTGCCGCGGGGCCAATCCAGGGACCCAATGCATGGAGAAGTGGACTGGACCCCCCTCCCACAACCAGGCACACTGTGCCAGTGCCTAGGGGCCCACCCAGGGACCCAAGGCACGGATCTGGGGACCAGACATTCCCCACAACCAGGCACACCAAGGAGCCATGACAAAAACATCACCTCCATGTGGGTGGCCCACCACAGCCACCACAATAACCATGGCTGCCGCAAAAGTGGCTAGATGCCAGAACCACCACACAGATGGTCTGCCAAGCACTGGAGTGCATTGACACAAGGAGAGTCACCAGCAGAGACAAAGAAAAGAAGAGGATGTTTCTCTCCTCACAAAGCCCATTGCAGAGTGACAGAAGAAGCATCTGATCTATGATAATATTGGGGGACCTGGTCACACCTCTCAGCATAGGACAGATCATTTAGGCAACAAATCAACAGAGTAAATCTCTTATTCTTTCAGGAGAGAAGAAATTTAGGGTAATTAGAGGGGGGAGAGGAGAGGAAGAGGGGGATGGGGAGAGATTGGACATGGGCATAAACAATAATTATGATTTAGAAATTTAGGGTAATTAGAGGGGGGAGAGGAGAGGAAGAGGGGGATGGGGAGAGATTGGACAAGGGGCATAAACAATAATTATGATTTATAACAATATATATGCTAGTGATTTGATCAACATATTTCAATGTTGAACCCCCAAAATATGTATAATCAATTTTGATTCAATAAAAATTTTTAAAAATCCTTAAAAAAATCAAATAAAATTTTCTAGCAACCACAAAACAAACAAACAAACAAACAAAAAAAGCAGATAGTATTAGCCCATTTCATCTCTGAGGAAATTGAGGCCAAGAGAAGACCACACGAATAGTAAATACTGGAACCAAAACTCAAACATATGTTAGTTGAACCCAAACCAGATCCTTCTTTCTCATTTTTAATTGTTACAAATATTTATTGCCCCTGTCTCCTCCTCTCCACACAGGGCCTGTCTATGGACTGCTGTCTCAGTGATCCAGCATATTCCACACTACATAGGCTTGACAGATTTACACACCTTAGCAACTCTACCCCTAAGTGTTTCCACATTGCACTTTCAGGAATAGGGTAAACCGTTCTCTTCTCTTCCCTCCTTTCTCCTCCTGGCTGTGACATGCGGTGTGAATTTGCTTATTTCTCCTCCTCAGGGTAGCACTGGGACTTTCCAAACAGTTAGTTCTCTGTCTTCTCATTTCTGAGTTTCTTCCTTATTCCTGTGTACTTTCTCATCTGCAACTGGCAGCTCTGCTGCTGGATTTCTGTTGTCCTTTCACTCTTCCTTAAGACTTTACGATAGCACTGCCAACATTTTTTTCAGGGTTTCTATCCTTGGGAATATAAGAATTGTGCGCTTTTTTAGGATGCTAAAAAATAGGTCTCTTCTACAATGTCTGTGTGTCTCTATTCTACTCCTTGGTTATTATGTAATCAAAGACGATCTGGCCATTTCCTTCCAGGACTTTGTTCCTTTCACTTCTTCAATCACTTCCTCACTGCTGGCTGGAATTCAGTTTTCTAACTTCTGGAAGAGGAAGTTCTCAGCATGGTCACTCCGGATTTGTTGGGTGTGTAGGTCAAGTTAGGAGCCACTCTAGGTGGCTGATCTCCTC